ACAGCCCCCGCAGGCCCCCCTTCTCCCCGAAGAGCACGCCCGGGAGCTCCTCCAGCGGGTTCTCATCCAGCGCCAAGGAGGTCAGATTGTGCAAATGGAGAAAGAGTGCCGAGGGCAGAGACCGCAGCTGGTTTCTGGAAAGAGTTAACATACGCAGGTCGCGGAGCTGGTCGAAGGCCCCGGGCGCGAGGGAGCGGAGGCGGTTTCCGTCGAGCCGCAGCTCGGCCAGGGCGCGCAGGCTGCGCAGGAGCCCCGCGTCCAGAGAGACGAGCTGGTTGGAGTGGAGCACCAGCCTCTCCAGCTTAGCCTGGGCCCGGAGCAACCCCTGCGGCAAGTGAGTCAAATTGTTTCCCGATACATCCAGCACCCTCAGGTTCCCCAGGTGCGCGAAGAGGCCGGCGGGGAGGGAAACGAGTTGATTGTTGTTCAGAAGGAGATGCTGCAGGCTAACCAGGTTCCGAAACAGGTTTTGGTCAATGCGCGTTAGTTTATTGTGGCTCAAGAACAACTGTTCCAGGAGCACCAGCTGGTCGAAGACGGAGCCTGGAAGATCCGGGATTTGGTTGCGCGACAACCTCAGGGTTTTTAGGTTTATCAGGTCGTCGAAGGCGCCGGGGGCGACGGCGGAGATGTGGCTGTCGGCCAGTAGGAGGCGCTGCAGGACCGTCATGCCGCGGAAGCTGTCACTCCGCAGGGTGCCGCGGTCCATGCGGTACAGCATGATGACCGTGAGGTTGGTGGGCAGGCCGAGCGCGCCGATGCGCCCCACGTCGCCCCCCGAGCACTGCGCCGCGTCCCGGACGAAGCAGCTGCAGGCGGGAGGGCAGGGGAAGGAGACGAGCTGTGCGCGCAGGAGCGCGAGCACCGCGCACAGCAGGGCGGCCCTCAGCATGTCCGATGCCTGTGGACAACACACAAGGGCAAACGTTCGCGTGCGCTCTTGTAACCCTGGGCATTTAACGTTGCAGAGGCAGGGTTCTTTCGCCAGGATTATCACTGCCTCTGTAATTCATAGACTAGTAAAGTCTCCCGCTTTGCTTAGGGGTGCAGATTTTCCTGGGTGGTCAAAAGACATTCATTCGTTCTACACTCACACGTCTCATTCTTTTGTTTTACTGATTTTCCACTCTCCGTGCAAAGCATGGAAAGCGTTTGCAAGCCAGAGAAAAGTCAGTACTTTAAATTCTTTACGTAGAGAGAACTCACTAAATAATTCTTCTCACCTTCAGGCTCCAGATTTCGCAGAGCAGTGCCCACTGTGAACATAGCTCTGCTCTTGACTCTATCCTTACCCAGGGGTGGGTATCCTTACCCAAGTCACGGAGGGAACAGCAAAGTGTTCAAATGACAGCCACCACCTGATTCCTTTGGTCACAACCATGTTATATCTGCAATACCAACTCCTCTACTACAACAATGGACCCCCCCCCCACCAAACAGCGAACACCCTCAGGCACACCGGGAAACGCAGGTAATAATACTTACCACTCTATGCCAGGCGTTCTTCCCAGCACTTTATTTGAATCCATTCATTTCATCTTTACCTAACCTTATGAGGTACATACTATTACTATCCCCAAAGAATGAAGAAACGAAGGCATGGGAAGTTTAAGGAACTTAACCAGGGTCACAGAGCTAGAATTGGAGAGTAGTATATCTGATTGAACCATAAATAAGAAACTATCATTTCTAAGATGTTTACAAATTAATACTTCTGGCATTGAATCATCTGTGAAATACACGCAGTAATACAAATCTGCCAAAACGTTTCCCCAGTGTAATTTTACACATATCGTTTCTTGTAGCTACCTATTCTTTCTTACGCACACATGAACTCACCAAGCCCTCCAGTTGCCCATACTAATTTTAAAGTATTTGGCCTTACCTGGAATGGTACTGCACCCCAAAGCAACTGAAAGGCTTAGAGCCTCGCCTGTGATTCGGCACTTTCCAAAGGAAGAGGGCGGTACCCCTGCATCCTCAGGATAAAGACTTTAACAGAATAAACGTCATGGAAAGGGCCCTATCTCAGAAGGCATATTCGGGATTTTTAATGACAAATATTTTCAAACTGAAAGCAACTATATATATAACCTAGATCCTACTGTCAAGGCTGAATGACAAGAGCAGGAGAGAGAGAAGTTTCTCCATAAATGGCACAACATAGCTCTGTGATGCCAGGAAAGCTTAGTGCAGCTGCCACACCCCTCGCGGGGCCAGGCTTCCTCCCGGCTTCCTTTTCATGTCACAGTTCTCTAATCCAGCTCCCCTCCTCCTTGGATGAATAATAAGGCTAAGACGCCCCTCACATGCTCCACTCAATTTCTTTTTAGAAATAATAAGGCTGAAAACATTCTCAAAGATGTTCAATTAGGCATCAGTGGGTGAGTTGAAGGGTGTTCACATGTTCAGTTTCACTTAGGACCGTCGAACGGCTTCCAAAGCAGCTGCCCCAGCACATGCTGCCACCTGCAGTGTGGGCAGTCCTTGTGCTTCACAGCTCTGCCCCTACTTGGAATTGATCTTTTAAATGTATATTTTGCAATTAATGGGAAATGATTGTCAGTGTGGTTTTTAATGCACTCGAGCCTCTTCATATTTTAAGGGCCACTTCATCTGAGAAATTCAGTTTTCTTTCATCTATTTGTCTATATGCAAAATATGTATGCTTATGTCTTTAAAAAACTGAATTATAGGCATTTTAATATATTCTGGATATGAATCCTTTGTTGGTTATAGGTGTTATGAATATCTTCAACTAGTTTGTGATTTGCCTTTCACCTTCTGTATGAGGTCTTTTTAAAAAATATATGTTATTGATTTTTTACAGAGAAGAGAGAGGGATAGAGTTAGAAACATCGATCAGCTGCATCCTGCATACCCCCTACTGGGGATGTACCCGCAACCAAGGTACATGCCCTTGACCGGAATGGAACCTGGGACCCTTCAGTCCACAGGCTGATGCTTAATCCACTGAGCCAAACCAGTTCGGGCTGTATGAAGTCTTTTCACATAAGTCTTGTGGTAGGCAGTTATCAATCTTTTCTAATTTGTGATTTTTGTGTCTATTAAAATAAATCCCTCCTTTCCTCCAAAATCAGAAAACTATTTCCCTGTAATGCCTTAAGTTTATAGCTTTGTCCTCCACTTTTAGGTCTATTTAATCCATCTAGAGTTGGTTTTTGTGTATGACATGAGTGGAGTCCGGTTTATTTTTCCCATTAGGATAACCAGCTGTCCTAGACCTGTTTATGTAAATCCCTTCTTCCCTGGGCGCTGTGTCAGCACTGCCAGGAACCAGCACATCAGTGTGTGGGTCTGTTTCTGAGCTGTTTGAAAAACCTGCATCGTACCCCACACTGAAGTAACTTTTAATGTTACTAGACATTTTCTTACTACATTGGTGGGCATATAAATTGGGGCCAACTTTTCAGAGAAAAATTTAGTAGTATCAACCAAATTTATAATATGTATATTCTGTGTCCAGCCATTCCACCGATAAAAATACACTTCATAGATATGCTCATCTAGATATGTGCACAAAAACACTTACTGTGGAATTGTAACAGAAAAAGAAACAAAAATCTAAATGACCATCAACAGGGAACAAGTTGTTTAAATTATGGTACATCCATGCAGTGGGATGCCTTGCAGACCTTAAAGTGAGTAAGGTTGAGCTCCAAGTGCCGACATACTTTCAAAGATACACTAAATGACAGGAAGCAAGGGCAGGAGAGCATACGCAATGGGATTCCACTTGTGTAGCATTTAAAAAAATAAATATTTACATGAGGATATATACATTTTTTTCCTACAATGATACACCAAGAAACTTCAGTATTCACCTTTTGGGGGAGAAGCCAGGGAACAGGTGGACTTCCTTACATACCTTTCTGTGAGGTTTAAATTTTTACTAAATATGCTTATATCACAATTGTATTTTAAAAAGTTTAATGCAAAAATAAAGTGATTTGGAAGGGAAAATGGCATCACTAAGGAAAAAAACATAAGGATAAAGGTATTAAAACACACTAGAGAGAGTCAAGGCTTGAATTGTGAAAGAATAAACATTAACCTCTGGAATCATGGAATGGAGTGGTACAGAAGTGTTCCTTAAATTATTTCATCCTGGTTGAAAAAAACTCCCCGATCCATGACATTTGCAGATGTGGAAAAAGCACTGAAATCCAAGCAGCGTTTGGAGCCAAATGTAGTTAAAACCCAGTAAATGCTGTACTGACTGAAGTTACCTCTAAGTCATGAAGTCCTAAAGCACAGGGGAAGTCACTCCCTCTGTCAGGGATCATGGGCCGTCTTTCAGCTCCAATCAAGGGAAGGAACTGAGCCCAGAACACATGCTGTGGTGGCATAGTGAGTCAGACACGCATAGGCACACCAAGCGAAAGACCCTTTGCCTAGGAAGATGCTGGGGAGCCAATGTGATGGAGAGTTTGGGAAGAAGTACTGTGGACTAATCAGTGACTTGGAGTCAAATTCCAGCGAAGCTTCTTTAGTCTGTTTCCACAGGAAGACCTCCAAGTTTTGTTCTTTGAAGAGAGCAGGGCATTCTGATTGCCCAAGAAGGGAGAACTGGGTCCAGAAGTTACAATGGAGCAACACTGAGTCCATCCACTGAACAAATAAACACGGTGCCGGAATCATTTTGAGCAATGAAGTTGACGGCTCTAGTGTTCAAGCCTTTGGAGCTGGGATCTATGAAACAGGTCGGAAATCTGCTGTCCTAATAGCTTCTGTGTAAGTCACAGAGCCCTGGCCTATGGCGTTTGGCCATTTAAAAGCAGGCGTCTGCCTGGATGCGACATGCTTTTCTTCCCCCATAGGGGACAGAGGCCGGGCACAGCAGGAGTTACACCTGCAGAGTAACCACACCACAACTATGAACAGGGACAGTCTCATTTCAAACTCATAGAATTCCTTCTGTCCTTCCCTACAGTATGCACTAAGAATAAAGCAACTGGCAGTAAGGGGGGAAGAGGAAGGAAAGATGAGAGGAACTGTGCCCACATCAGCAGGCTGTGGGGACATGGTCATTTGCTATACAAACCACAGCGCATGGAAGAACTTGAGCTCAAAGTGGTGTTCATACCACCCAAATCCATCAGATCACAGCCAGCCACACAGCCCACAGCAGAGGATGCATGTCTCCTGCAGAACCTGCCATACTAGGAAACACCTTCCCAAGCACAAAGGCCCAACACAAACCTGCCTTCTCTGGGATTTCTATGGCCAGCAGTTAGCTCCACAGCTTCTCTCCCCTTGGAGGGCTCCTCTGGCACCCACAGATACCACTTCACTTCAAACGCACCATGACTTACACGGTATTAGCTTTTGATCTTCCCAACTATTAAGAGACTAACTCCCTAATTTTATAGTTCACCATTTCCCTCAGACCTCCTGACACTTAACATTTGGCTCTACATTGTATGTGACTGATAGGTTTCTGCGGATGGTCACAGACATAAGTGTGGAATGCTGTATTTATTTCCTTCAAACACCCAGTTAGCCTGGCTGTGGGGCTCAGTGGTTAAGTGTCAACCTAGGAACCAGGTGGTCACAGTTTGATTCCCAGTCAGGGCATATATCTGGGTTGTAGGCTCAATCCCTGATTTTGAAGGAGGCAGCCAATCAATGATTCTGATCATTGATGTTTCTTTTTTTTTAATTGTTAAAAAATATACTTTTATTTCAGAGAGGAAGAGAGAGGGAGAAAGACAGGAAGCACACAACCCACGCATGTGCCCTGACCGGAATTGAACCATGACCTCCTGGTTCATGGGTTGATGCTCAACCACTGAGCCACCATGGCTGGGTGCCATCATTGATCTCTCTCTCTCTCTCTCTCTCTCTCTCCCCCTCCCCCCCCTTCATCTCTGAAATAAAAACATCTTTTAAAAAACAACAAAAAAAACCCCAATGTTATATAAAAAAAAGGAAATGGGAAAGTATTAAGCAGGAAAATAAACCCATTTAACTAAAAAGGAAACATGTATAAAGACACAGAAAAAAGAATCTATTTTATTCATTTAGATTTTTATTTTGAATGCTTCAATCAAAAAAATTTCATACGGTTATTTACAGTGCTGAATGTACAATTATGAATGTATGCCTTTTTGACATCAGGGTACCATTCTTGAGCAGCAATATAATTTTAAAAATATAAAGATGCAATATCATTTCTGATATAAAGTTTCTTAAAAAAATTCCAAAGTCTTAGGGAATTAACAAATCATAACAGGAAGTTAACTATTTTATTAATTTAATGTGCACATAATTACCAAATTTTAATACATTAAAAAATATGTGTAAATACCCAAGACTGTACAAAAATTAACATCCCATATTTTGCTAAAAGTTCCCAACCACCTCCCACCATAAATATACAAAAACCTATTTCAGATATGTCAAAATTACATGCAAGATATCTTAGAACGTTTTCTAAAGCTTGAATTTTGCTCTTCTCTGAACAGTGTATGTATAGCTGTTTTGGAAACAGAATATATAAACACTGATATTTTTACCATGCCTTTGAAACTGCGCAGTATTTTCATAAACAGGGATAACAAAATAAATACAGTAAAAACTGCAACAGTTTTGTTTAAATGCAAGTGCAATTTGGAAAGCTCTCAAATGCAAGGATTATAAAACTAATATAAAAGTACTCATTTTGTTGTTGGCTTAGCCACTTTTATTCAAGCATTATTTGCAGCAATGCCTTACAGCAGTTGGTGCTAGAAGATACAAAACATAGTCACCACTATTTATATTTGCGGGAGAAAAAAAACTTTAAACAACCCTGAGGGAGACACACATTAAAAATCTTGTTATTTATTTAAAAAGTTAAAAAGTTACATATCATTATTTAACAATTATTTTCCCAGACATTTCTGTCCTTAAGTATGTGCATAAATAAAATTTAAAGCGGCAATATTTATTAATCTTAATAAACCAAAATAATATATGTACAGATTTTAAAGTTTATGTCTGTATACACTCAAATAATTTAATGTGAAATTAAGAATCAAAATTACTCTGTAATGGTGATCTACAGAGCAAGAGAACTCTATCTATGGCACTGAGTAGGACTCACACCTATATTCACAAACATTCCTCAAATAATATTCTGGGAAGCCATCAATTACAACTTGAACAACCCACTTAGTTCAAATCTAACTTCCTACAAATGCTTTTCCACCTACCTAAAAACCTTATTCCTTTGAAAGCAATATAGACAGATGAGATAAAAAACCCTTATAAAATCTAAATGTTAAAAAAGGGGAGGGTGTAAAAAATATAGCTCTTTATGATCATGCTCTTAAAGATGTTAAATACAGTCTGATAATTGGGTTTTTAAGCTGCTACTAGCAATTACCTTAATTATATGCTTCAGTATTTAAATCAAAGAATAAGATTTACAATTCTGGGAAATCACTGAAGAATAACACTCATACATGTTGAAAATAAATGTGGAAATTATAAAACAATCAAGAGAATAAGTATAGAAAACAGTGCTAATTCACAGCTCAAGAGGTCTAAGATGCATAGCTTCATAGAATCATTCATGGAACAACTGTTCTTATCTAATGTCTATTAATAGCATATTATTTTTTTTATGGAAACTTTATTTTTTGTGAGAATCATCAGTGGCAATAGCAATAACAGTGATCCTGAGTCTAACTTACACTTTTCTATAGTCACCAAACATCATTCATATCTCTGCACCACAAAAAATGAGAATCATTTGATTCTACAGTTCTGCCTAACATTTGGTAAATTGGTAAGTACAGATCAGGAAAATAATGACCAGCTAGAGGTGAACAGTACACCCATGCTACTGGTTAAGGAAGAACACAGGATAATATCACATACTTATAGAAGTTTAGTGTCCATTTTACAGCAGTATCAGTTTCCTTGTTTATCCATAACTGTGGACTTTGTCAAACCACTGGATCTTACCTATAAAGGCATTTTTACAGTTACTTTTATTTTGTTTAGAATTTAAACATTATCTAGGCAAAACAGAAAGATGAAAAGTATTATTCACATTTCATTTGATTCAATGAATGTCTATTCTTTAACTTTATTTCCATTTTTCTTTTCTTCCAGAAAATGCCACCACCGAAGTATGTTCATTTGTAAACATCCAATCCAAAATAGGTAAACTCTGACCTCTGGCGCCACCTAATGGCATAAAACAAATTCTCGCCAAGTTCATACTGCCTTCAACAAATTTAGCAGTTGTTCAAAACCACTCATTTTTTAAGCCTTACTATTGATAGAATAGACATACATCAAATCTTTAAAATTTTAGAAGGCAAAAATCTAACTAAAAAAAACTAAAAGATAGCAAAAAGCAAACAAAAAGCTAGCTCACTACTATCCAATGTTTTTAGAAAATTAAAAAAGCAGAAAATAAAAGACATTTAAAATAATATAAAACCTGAGAGGGGGAAAAAAAACGGGTATGGAGAGATATCAGAAAGATAGATCCACATCTATTACAAAAAAAATAATTTTTTCCTAATGAAAAAGTTTACAACATTTAACTAAAGCAAATTACACTACTGACCCCAGACAGCACAGACACATTAACAGTTTTGAGGGACATCTCCAGAAGGCAGTGAAGCACCTTGCTGATTAGAAAAATAAAACCCAGGCAGTTTGTACAGAAAATATAAAACCATAAGTGGAAATTACCTGAGTTGTTCTATAAGCAACACCATAAAACTCACTCCTAACTCTGGATTATCAAAGGAATCTGGTGTATGTATATATAGAATTCTTTGGAAGAAATGTTGGAATCAAATGAAAACAGGCTTTTTAACTATTTTCACTAGAGCCTAATCATAAATTTAGGGCCTGTATATAAACAAAGACCTTTTCTAAGAAAAGTTGTGAAAATAAATTTAAAGGTATAAACTAAGTCTCAAGGGCTAATGTCTAAAACCCTACCAAATACCAACTTTCTTCTATACCCTATATAAAGAGTATCACTGAGGGTAATAATCAAGAACATTGTGGAAATATAATATTCAGAGTTACTGAATAAAGAAAGAGGACTTCACAGATTATTAATTTAGCGGGCATGCCAATCTTTTATTTTTGTTTCTTTTGTTTTTTAAAAAAAAAGCTCTGAAATCACCTACTATATCAGAAGGAACACAGATTGAAATGATGCCATCTGACACACAGGATCAGAAAGTCCTAAATTACATTCTGTGCAACACTGCTACTAGCATCCCACCGAGACTATGTTATGGTGATGATTTGACATGATCCATTTTCTTTAACTAAAGCTTTAGCTTCTGTTGTTGTCTGAGGTTTTGGTGGCCATTCCGGGTCAACCAAGAGCTCCTGAGCCAGATACATGTACTTTGCTTTCGGTATCTTCTTTCTACAGTCCAGGGCACAGGACAAGCAGCATTTCCCCCAATAGTCCACTGACTCCTAAGGAAATAAGGAAAAAGAACACCCCAGAAGATTAAAGGCTGCTTGTTTTTAACAAATTTGTTAAAGCAGAGTATGTCAACACAAAAAAATAAGATGAAATGACTTTTGAGCATAAACAAATGAAAAAAAATCCATGTAAAAGAGTAAGCTTTCAATTATTTAGGAACATTTTTAAAGGTTAGATGTTTTAGTTATCAATGTAATATACTTTATTTAGGTTATAGACCTAACTTCTTGTGTATGTATACTTTTTTTCCCATTTCTTTTTGAATAGATACATTTTTAAAATAACTTGCAGATCTGGATAACACAAAACATCTATTGCATCAAGAATTATTTTAAACTATTCAGAAAGAAAATATTTTTAAGATTTTAATATTCAATATGGAAACTCTCATCTTCTATCCCTTTGGTACTAGATCATTTTTGGAAGAAAGCAGTGTAAAAAATATCATTGTTACTGTTAATATTACCTTTTAAAACATAAAACATTATGAAAATATTGTTAGGTCAAAATTAGAACTTAGATCATGTTTAATGTCATTCACTTCTTTTAAAGCCACATTTTCATTCATACAAAAACAATTTTATTTCATAATGATGGTTACCCTTGATGCTCTACCTTTAAGAGGAGGTACATACAAAGCTATAAAGCAAGTACTATTTCTTAGTATTATTTCATTATAAAAAGCTCTGCTGTCATTGAAATTCTTGATTAATCCTGATGTTTTTAATGACTGTGATCTTAGATAAATAATTCTCGAAGAACAAGAAAGCAGAGTCCCTTGTTATTGTAAAGAAATATCAATGCAGTAGAGGCCCTCAGAATTTATCTTAACTGAAATTTGTGGTAAAGAAATGAAATAAACCCAGTTGGTTGGGTGTTGTCCCGTGCACCGAAAGGTTGTCGGTTACATTCCCAGTCAGAGCACATGCCCAGGCTGTGGACTCAATCCCCAATAGGGGCGTGTAGTAGCCAGCCGATCAATGTTTCTCTGTCACATCGATGCTTTTATCTTTTTCTCCTTCTCCCTTCCTCTCTCTCTAAAATCAATACAAAATCTTTTAAAAAATGAAATAAAAGTAAACAACTATACCAAGAACTAATTATATTCACCTCTAAAGAATGATCAATTTTTAATTATTTTGGCTTTTGTTTCTCCAAAGCAAAATCAAATCCCCGGTTTTTTATTCTGCCATTAATACATAACCCAGTCTACACCTAGGTCTAATCTCAACTGAAACAATCTCACAAAATGGAAGCATAACATAACAGAGAGGAGCATTCTAATATGTTAACATCCAAAATATTTTCATGATCAAGAAAGGCAGATTTGTTATAACATATGTGTTCTGAAACATGTTTCTACATTTGCCAATGGAGAAGAGCAAAATACTTTAATATGAAAACTCTTACACTTTTCTACATTTGGACTTGGTAGGTCCTCTTATTTTATTGAGACAGCCACCAGAACCTACTACTCTTTCCTTCTCCAAAACTGTGGGCATGTGGCAGCACTGAGATCACTATAAATAATAACCGAATGCTTTTAAAGGTCTGCTTACTTTGTCAAAAAAACACAGTAAGCTGCACTGCTATACAAAATTTATAGGCAAAAACTGTGGTAACAAGTAAGTTATACTTTACAATTCTGGGGGGAGAGAGGAGGTACAGATTTTATGATTAGCCATCTAGCTATAAAGAGAGCTATTACCATCACCTTAAAAGAAGCCCACAAGATGATACAGGATTCTTCAGGTGATCCAAATAACTAACAATTCCTTTCCAGGGCAGCCTCGTACACAACAAACCTTAACATTTAATCTGAGGTGAGGGCTCACTACTTGGATCTTTTTTCCAAGGTGTTTAAAGTCTTCAATTTAGTTGCAGAAAAGACCATTGTTCCTAAATCAATCTGAAAGCTGTCACTTTCTATTTTATGGCATGTAGCACTTTTAAAAGATCACAGGAAGAGATTAATGGTGAACGGTGATTGTAAGAAAACAAAGAAACAGACAAAAAAACCCCAGAAACATATGGCCTTGTCTGTCCAGATGAACCAGCAGGGCTGAAGGACAATGCAGAGTTAAGGAAAGTCACAGCCAAGTGTATTCAAATGGAAGACACACATACACATCTCTAATCCACTGTTCCCTACCTGCGGAAAGTGAGGCAAGCAATAAAATTAAAGCCAATTTCACTGCAAACAGAATAGCAACTGAATAGTATTTTTTCTTTTTTAAATCCTCACCCGAGGATATGTTTATTGACTTTTTGAGAGAGAGAGAGAGAGAGAGAGAGAGAGAGAGAGAGAGAGAGAGAGAGAGAGAGAGATACAGATGTGAGAGAGAAACATCAATTGGTACCACCCCAATTGGGAGAGCGAATCTGCAACTGTTTGGTGTACGGGACAACACTTCAACCAACTGAGCCATCCAGCCAGGGCTGAATAGTATTCTTTTTACATTAGCATGTATGTTTAAAAAAATCCTCATGTCCCTATAAAAAGCATTCAGAAAAAATAAATGAAGTCACAAGAAACACTAGGGATATCCCCTCCAGTGTAATTAGACACGTATTTTGTTCCCGTGTCCTCACCTCCCCCAAACATCATACACAAAAAATATACTATAAGCAAGCATAGGTTTGTTAGTTTGCAAGCACAAACATACCACACACATCCTCAAACACAATGTAACACACCAGTAGAGAAAATAAAAGGTGTTACAGGCATGCTGGAATGAAAACTAAATCCAGAGAGAAGATGGTGGCAAGAGGAGAGAAACAAGCACTGTGCACTAGAAAGTGAAGAGGGGAGCATCACAGGACTCAGAATGAGCGCTTGGATCTCCCTGAACACCTGGGGATAGGTCTCAGAAGCAGGAGAACACATGAGCCATAGCAACTGGAGCTTTTGGTTGGCTCCTGAAAGGAAACCCTGGTTAAATAACCACGTGTATCCCTCGGAAAAGGTAAAGAGGCTACCACAGACCAACGGAGAAACCACAAAGAACTTCCAAAAAGATCTACAGCTAAAATTCCCCTGCTTCTTAGACCATTACAAACTGTTCATTCTAGAACCCCAATGCCAGTTTAATCTTTGCAGTGTCTTTTAGGAAATGTTTTCATGGGTAGCATGTAAAATATAAAGCCAGGCTTGCAGGACATGTTATAATGGTACTATGGTTTTCATAAAAGTCTTCTTCCATACCAATCCTGAATATAAAACAAGTAAGGACAATTAGAATTAGCATTACATCTACATAAGCCCGAACAATGTTCTAAGTGGCATAAAGACTATAGCTAACACTTGGATTCTCCCCTCCTCCTCCCCCCACCCCCCCAAAAAAAAGGAAAATATAACCAGGCACAAATCCTCAGGCAGGATCAAACTACAATTCTAGTTCCACATCTACCACTAAGCAGCCACCAAGACACCAAGAGACCATGCAGCACAGATCTTCTCAAACAGGGTAAAGCTGTATAGAGATGATGGGACACTCCACTAAAAACTTTTCATTCAGTAGATCAAGGATGAAGTTCAAAGGCATTTACTGAAGAAAACTTTTGCTTGAAAAGCACTGTATATCAAGATTTTTGTTTTTTGGTCAGAGAATAAGTCTTAACATCTGAGAAATATTTAGCTACATAAAAGTTTTAACTTTGATTATTTGTATGTGGTTTACTTAACCTGTTTTCAATTTCATTCAGGCCACCTAGCATCCGGAAGCAAAACAATCACTATAGGAAATAAATTAGTATTATGTAAAAACCCTTCCTGTATCTAAATTAGGTTAGCTGCATGAATGTTCAGTAGGCCAAGTACAACACAGTATCTATTAAATAAAAAAGTGATACTTATGTTGTCCTTAAAGACTAGATAGGAGCTTTTTGGCCTAGAAATATTATGGGCCTGGGTACAGGTAAATGTGAATCTGAATCCCAGTTCTAACACTGTTTCCTCATCTGTGGAACTGGGAGAAACTAAAGACATTTCTATATCTTGAGATTGTAGTAACAATTAGAAAGAATTTATATAAAATGCCTCATACGGTGTCTACCATAAAAAGCAGGTACTGACAACAGTAGCTATGGTTTGTCTCCATTTTGTCATGTGACTGTTATATTAACTTACACCTATATAGCCCCCATATATGAGGCAATGTGGAATAGTGGGTAAACACTCCTCCTGAAATCAGAAACCATGGCTTCAACTCCCAACTCTGCCATTTCATTACATGCAAAATCTTGGCAAGTGGACTGAATGCTATTTCTCTATGTATAAAATGAAATTAGAAATGCCTTAAAATTGGAAGGGATCCTGGAAGTGTAAAGCACCTTGTAGATCACCAGATTTTTTAAAATATGGTTACTAGAGATTTCCAGGTGAGGTTCTTGACTTCCCAATTCAAGTGTCTAAGACCTGAAGCCTAGTCAAGGTTCTCTAGCTTTCAACCCAACTCAATGGTCCCTGGGTACATATGGTAAGGAAGGAAAAGAAGAAAGAAAAATTCTCTTCTCTCGACATTAGTATAGAAGGTTGGGAGTTGCAGTTTGAGAAGACCTCATGGGATTCTCGGTAGAAAGCGCACATACAGAATGGGCAAATGTGGAACAGGAGTTTGTGGTGAGGGACAATTATGGCAGCCACAGAAATCTTAGGTGTAGCTGGCACCACCCCCCCCCTCAACTTTACTTTTTTTTTCACCTATGGCAGGTACTACTGACATCTTGGACTAGACATTCTGGGTTGTCCTGCATACTACTATAGGATGTTTATTTAGCAGCATCCTCAGTGTCTACCCAACTACATGTTAGCAGTAGCACCACACCCAGCCCCAAACCGTGACAACCAAATATGAATCTAGGTACTGCCAAATGACCCTGATTGAGAACCACAGCCTTACAGTAATATGACTAACTAGAGGCCCGGTGCACAAATTCATGCATGGGTGGAGTCTGGCTGGCCCGCCCTGATTTGGGGAGGGGCCGGCCAGGGGAAGGGGCCATGGGCGATTAGCCAACTGGCCTTACCCCCTGGTCAAACTCCCAGTCAAGGGCACAGTTTGCATATTAGGCTTTTATAGGATTGGCCCTTGAAGAGTCATAAATATGAAGAGTGACACTCCATTACACACACAAATGTCAGAAGACAAAAGTGTATCATTCTGTGTTAAGAGGTTATAAATACTCTTTTTAAAGCCAATAATTTCTTAATCATGGCCATAGAAAATGAAGACTAAAATTCTTGTCTAGTCAATGATTCTCAGAACTGGTAAGCACACGGGACATGCTAGAGCTACCTGCTCTAGACCACTCACTCTCTCTACCTTCACTCTCTCCCCTAAATGCTTCAGAGGTAAGACTGGATGTGAGAGGCACAAACTCTTAAAAATAAGGGCAGATACTTATTAACAAATGTTTAAAAAATAGAGATGTAGGAAATGATAGGATTTTCTTCCATTTAATTTTGGTTGAACAATGAAGAGGGATTCCAATTCAAATGTTTACAGCTTTATGATACCCAATTTTGACTAAGTCGGGGTATAACTCCTCTTCAGAACCTGCATTTACTTCCTGTCAATTGTAGATCTCCCTGGAGAAGCTGATAACTCACGGTAAATATTTTCCTTGGCTTGAGCCTTACCAATACAAGTATCTCATATGAGCCAAAGTTAACCTCTGAAGTAATGTAGTGAGGTAATCAAAAGGAAAGAAATATAGACACAGGAGATTTAGCTAAAGGAACCGAGTCCCTAATACAATTCTGGTCATACCCACTACTAAGGCATTACACTGCTTCGAGAAAAAGAAACTGAAGCTGATTCCAAACTCATCCCATCATTATAAAACTACCAGAGGCCCAGTGCACGAAATTCGTGCACCAGTAAGGGTCCTTAGGCCTGGCTGGCGATCAGGGCTGATGGGGGCCTTCCAGCTGCTGGCCAGGGCCTTCCTTCCCCAGCTGCCAGCTGGGGCCTACCGTCATTCCATGCCACCCCTGGTGGTCCGCGGACATCACAGTGAGCAATTGAACTCCCAGTCTCCCAGTCGAACTTCCAAGGGGACACTGAGCATATTAGCCTTTTATATATATAGATCACTACTCATCCATCGTGAAGCTTTAGCAAAAAGAATAGCACTCTCCAGGACCTCTTATCAAAGGATCATGTGTTATTACACTGGGCATCAAGCCTGCCAAATTACCAAATAAAACTCAAGAAGTTGCTACTTAGGTTAAAATAAAAAAAGCTAAAAATAAGTGAATAGCCCAATTCAGCAATGCCAAGGAATCCTTTTGAACTCTATAAGTTTCCTTGCATGGCTCATGATGAGTAAAAGATTTAGATACAGAAATCTTTAGTAAAATATTTAGGATACCTCATCCACCAACAAACAAAGGGGTAAGATAATGAGGTGAGACTGCATCATTAAGTTCTCTATACCCAAAAAGCTGTAGAGCCCTGGCCCGTGTTACTCAGTGGTTACAGCATCAGTCCCAGGTCCGAAGGGTCTCACATACCTGGTCAAAAACATGTACCTGGGTTACAGGTTCCCTCCCTGCCCTCAGTGGACATGTGGGAGGCAGCCAGTTGATGTGTCTCTCACATCGATGTTTCTCTCTCTCCCTCCCTGCCTCCCTTTCATTCTCTCTGGAAAGCAATGGAAAAAATATCCTCAGGAGAGGATTAACTGAATAAACAAACTGTAGAGCTGTATGTAATTCAATGGGATCAGTTTAAAAAATAAGACTAACATATTTTCTATGAAAAAACTATAGGTCAAAACCCTAACACCAGGAAATGGGTTTATATCTCATTCTCTTTTTTATCACTGCACTTGCATGTCTTTCAAATAATAAGTTATATAATGGGTCCAAAAGAATAAAAAATCCTAAGCCATGGTTTGTATAAAAATGAGCACTACCTGAAAATTTTCTGAATAATAAAAGACATATGCTGAGAAAAGTCTAAAAGCCACCCAAAATTAAGATACAGTAACAATAAATCAGAAATAATTTTGACCTTTGGACTCTGATCCATTTAGAAATAATTCCTATTTCATAACTTTGTTTACATACATGTCATTTAGCTTCTAATGGGACTCATGAAAACCGAAAAACATAACGTTTAAGCCAGATAGAAATGGAAAAATTAACTCTCACCACTGAGGACAAGACCTTTACATAAACACAAGATAAGGATTGGAATGGAAAAAAGACTTATGAAATTTCTGAAGTCCTGAGAAGCCTGTAACAAAGGTTTGCCATGAATTTTCTAGGACTCCTTGCAAGAAATGAAATGCCAGGCATATGGAAAAAGGTTGAAGCAACACACAACAGAACACCAGTCTACAGAATGCAGAGTACACACTGAGAGAGCCTGGGTATACATGAAGAATTGAGAGCAAGTGCTGAATTCCAACCTGTGCTGGCTGTGTGGTGGTGAAGCGATACTCTCCTTGTCTGTCTCGATTGAACACAACTTTCCAAAGGACCATGTCAAGGCAGAAGTTCTGAGAGATATTCCAGTGAGTTAAGAATTAAAAATGACTATGTCATTCTTTATTAATGTGCACATTTAAAAAGGATCACACAATGCTGAATCATTAGTAAAAAACATGACTTGACTGTTATATAGAGAATTTCAGTTAATATTGCAAACAGACAAAAAATAACATGACTTTTATGATAAATGCAAATCATCATAAAATTCTTGATAATATGGGACCTCTACATTTTCCACAAAACATGACTTTTATATGAATAGTCGGGCTCCCCATATTAAAATAATGCTTATAATCCAGTCTTTTTCTTAACAGTGAGTTATTTCCATTGAATATTTAAAATTAATTCTATATGTAGCTAAATCTATATATGAATATGATTTTCAGAATCCAACACAAATAATTCTTTTGATAGTGAGCCACGAGTAAAACATTATGAGGGTTTATAAAAGGATTCCCTAAAAAAATCTGTTTTTAAAAATATATATATACATATATCTTAAACATTTGAGTGAAAAGTTGAACTTATCCTATAGAAAAAGAAAAGCTTTTAAAATACAATGTCTTGGGTGTGCTTTCTATAGTCCATATAATAGCAAAAACACATTCCACTGGGCACTTTAAAAAGATCAGTTTCAGTACCATAAAATCCATGCTGCCAACTATGGTCCAAATTTAAATACGAAGTCATCTTTTAGAAAGATAACAAATTAAGCATCATTTCCAAGTCTAGAAATATTATCATTAAAGTATATATTTCACAAATTACCTAATTTTAATTCAAAATCATTTCCTATGAAACACTTCACTTAAAAATCACACCTGTTATCTCTTTCCATTTTATAAGTTGTTACTGTAGAAGAGAATAATAATAGTTTGGAGAACAGACAAAATTATATTAACAAACAGCAAATGAGAACTCAGCAGTTTCTTTTATAGAAATGGATCTAAAGGCAATCCTAATAGGAGAGTAATTGTACAATGCACAATGGATCAGAGAGTCCTTATGACCTCTAGAGGGAATTTAAAAGCAAATATCAAAGAGGAAATTCCACTAATCAATGCTGAGACTGGGTATTCATAACGGTCATTATTTTATACTCTCAATAAACTCTATTATTAATATTTATGACTTCTCATGGAGAAAGTCCCGCTTCTCCCTTAAATGGGAAACTGTACCATCTATCACAGGATTCAGTGGTACTAGCCCACTCTGATTTCTTGGCCACCAGTTGATGGGCTGCCTGAGCACCAATCTCCACCCCCATCCCCACCCCACAACCCATCCAGTTTGGTGGCTTCCTCTTTATTGATGTGCCTCCTACCTTCCCCAACAATTCTGAGCACCAATCTTCTCTCCTTTCTATCAATCACTAATTTTTGCTAGCTCACTGCTTATTTTCTCCTATCTGTATGAGTGTAGCTAAGTAATATCCCTTAATATGACTACTATCAGTTAATGGAAATGTTAGAAGAAAAGGCTAAAAAAACTTAACTAAAATGAAACTGAGACTCTGTATGCTTCCATAATACTACCTGTTCTCTTCCCCCATTACCATTAAATCACCAAGAATCCCAAAGCAGCAAGGTAGCCATTTGATTATCTGAAGTGCTTACCTCCACCATGATAGATACAAGGGCATTTACAAGAACAATGATGAGCATAGTTATACGCCACTGATATGGTACACACACAATCTGTAAGACAAAAAATTTTAAGTTAAAATAGTAGTATGTAGTTTATATTTATGGCATTACATCATAACTTTAAAATTAATTTAATTCCTATTATGTACCAAGCACCTTCACATAAAATACCTACTCAGTCCTCAACAGTGCCACAAGCTACATATTATATCCACTTTTCAGATGATAAATCTCAAAGTGTAAATAACTTAAGTTTAAAAATAATATTAAAGTGGCTGAGCTTAGTCAGATCTTCATCACTCAGATTGAATAGCTCAAGCCTTACTAGACCATAAATTTCTAATAAGCCCCTATTTTTCAATGTGCATGCCCTTGGCAGGAATAGAACCCAGGACCCTTGAGTCTGCAGGCTGATGCTTTATCCACTGAGCCAAACCAGCTAGGGCTAATAAGTCCCTATTTTTTAAATAAAATCTTGTCTTTAAACAATGAAGCAGATACTGATCTAATAATAAAATATTATTCAAAACTCTATACTGATATAAGGACAAGTGCATAAAAGAACTATATAGATCAACTTAAGAAATATAACCTAAATTTTCACTTTAAAATCTGTGATAAATTTTTAAGGCCTAAAAAGGAGAAGAAAAAAACCTATTTACACATTCATCCTTTCATCAGCAAATATACACTGAGTGAATATCCAAGATACTGTGCTAGGTCCTGATATGATCTAATGTTTTAGAAAAACATTTAAGACTTCAGCAAGAAGGATCTGAGGGGTGAAGACTACGATAGTGATCCAGACAAAAGGTGATAGTAGCTTGAATTAAAATGGTGGGCATGATAAGAAATATGTATTTGGTCTCTGTCCCCGGTTCATGACATTTAGCTCTTAAAACTCATATAATTTCCTGAGTGATGGAGGCAATAGGGAGTGTCTTATACAGAACTTCTAAATCCCCTGGAATGCTTTTTGCTCTAATGAGGCTACTCTGGGTGGGCTCCTGAATAGCTTCAGGATGGGGGTTGCCCACCAGAAAGACTAAGCCACGATTAGAAGCTTGGAACTTTCAGCTCCACTTCCTCATCCTCCAGGAAGGAAAGAGGGGCTGGAGATTGAATTAATAATTGATCATGCCTAGTGATGAAGCCTCAATTAAAAAAAAAAGAAACCTAAACTAGGGGTTTTAGAGACATCCATGTGCTGGGAGAGTGGCACATCCCAGCTCCACAGGGACAGAAGCTCTGTACTCTGGGCCCTTCCAGAAGACCTCGGCCTACATAACTCTTCATCTGGCTAATCATTTGTACCTTTATTATAGTCTTTATAATAAACTAGTAAACATAAGTGTTCCCCTAAGTTCTTTGAGCCGTTAAAGCAAATTATCAAACCTGAAAAGGGGGTTGCAGGAACCAATTTATAGCTGGTTGGTCAGAAGTACAGGTGATAACCTGGGACTTAAAACTGGTGTCTGAAGTTCTGGTATAGTCTTGTGAGACTGAGCCCTTAACCTGAACTATCTCCAGGTGGTTAGTGTCAGAACTGAAATGCAAGATAATCCAGTTGGTGTCCAGAGAGTTGGATAACTGGTTCGTGTGGAACCACCCCAAACATGTGGTGTCAAAAGTGTTGTGAATAGAGGAAACAATAGTTTCCTTTTAGGTGACAAATGGGGTTGGAATGAAAAGAGAAAGATTCAGAATAAGAAAACTGAGAGAATCTATCAAGAGACTGGCTGTAAAAAGAAAAGAAATAGATAAGGACACATATACACACTTCTGACTTGGGTAAATGGTGGTACCAAGAAACGGAGACAAAGCAGAGCCGAGGAAGAAAATGATGAGCTTAGTTTAAAAATGTTGATGGGTGACCCTTCAGTGGATAGAGCGTCGGCTGCGGACTCAAGGGTCCTAGGTTCGATTCCGGTCAAGGGCATGTACCTGGGTTGTGGGCACATCCCCAGTAGGGAGTGTGCAGGAGGCAGCTGATCGATGTTTCTCTCTCATTGATGTTTCTCTCTATCCCTCTCCCTTCCTTTCTGTAAAAAATCAATAAAATATATATTTTTTTAAAATGTTGATGGGTGAACCATGCAGATAATATTCAGTATGTCAATAGAGTAGATTCAGGTCTAAAGCTAGTTGTGAGAGCTAGGCTAAGGGTATAGAGTCGGGAGTCTTCATTACATAGTTAGCAACTATGTGTGAAGTCATGACTACAGATGAGATCACCTGAATGTAGAGAGTAAAATCAGGGATAACTGCAGAAATGTGGAGAACACAAAACATGTAAAGAGCAGGCTGAGGATTTGGAACCACAATGAAGAATGAGAATGAGGAGTTACAGAAGTAAGGAGGAACAATCACAAGAGAGCAAAACATCACAAGATTCCAGAGGAAATATCTCAAGAATGTTGGCATGGCTCACTTGTCAAGTACTGCTGAGGAGTCAAGAATAAAAAAATAAAAAATAAATAAAAAGAAATTAATGGGATAAGTTCATTGGACTTAAGAAGGTTGTTAACTGCCTTGGCAAGGTAGCTTCAGTAGACTGGCGGGTGTAGAATCCAGACTAGTTCATATGTGTGCGGGAAGCGAAGTGAATTTTCATAGCACTCTTTCAAGAAATAATTGTTTTTAATCTTTATTATTGAAAGTACTACATGTGTCCCCCTTTTTCTCAATTTGACTGTGAAGCAGAAGACACATGTGGTAGGAAAGAAATGTGTGTTCTATTTTGCTTTCTTCTTTTGCTTAAAGTGCTTATCTAAATTCCTCAATGAAATGGTGGGAAACAGTTATACCAAAACACTGCTGGAAAGATGATAAACTGTCAATTTCTTCTAAGATAAATAACACAGTATTTATAAAAATTAAAATTTGAGACGCCCTTTGACCAAGCAATTCCATTTCTGCACATTCAACCTCCAAGTATGTATTTGTCCTTCTTAATGAAGTGCATAAGGATTTGCAATACAGCATCCTATATAATAGAGGTAATATGCAAATTGACCATCATGCCTTCACACAAGATGGCCACCCCCATGTGGTCACAAGATTGCTGCCACAAGATGGCCAGCAGGGGAGGGCAGTTGGGGGAGACCAGGCCGGCAGGGGAGGGCAGTTGGGGGTGACCGGGCCTGCAGGGGAGGGCAGTTGGGGGCAACCAGGCCTGCAGGGAGCAGTTAGGCGTCAATCAGGCTGGCAGGGGAGTGGTTAGGGGGGGATCAGGCTGGAAGGCAGAAGCAGTTAGGGGCAACCGGGCAGGCAGGCAGGCGAGCGGTTGGGAGCCAGCAGTCCCAGATTGTGAGAGGGTGTCTGACTGCCAGTTTACAGCAGTTGGACATCCCCCAAGGGGTCCCAGATTGGAGAGGGTGCAGGCTGGGCTGAGGGACACCCCCCCACACACACATACACACACATGAATTTCATGCACCGGGCCTCTAGTTTCTTATAATAGCAAAACACTGGAAACAACCTAAATACCCATTCAAAGGGGATTAGTTAAATTATAGAAAAGTCCACAAGATGGAATGCCATTCCACAAAGCTCATATAACTTTGATGCAAACCTCTCAATAACACAAGAAAGAAAAATTAAGTCTGATCTCACTCATGCAACCAGAAGCAAAAATCCTAAACAAAATCATAGCAAGCCAAATCAAGAAAGTATAAAAAAGAATGCATCATGACCAAATTGGGTTTATTGAATGCAGTGTTAGTTCAACATCTGAATACCAGTCAACTAACTATAATTTACCACATTCTCTAGGGAGAAAAACTGTGATCATTTCAGTAGCTGTAGAAAAGGCATTAGGTAAAATTAATCATCTATTTATGATAACAACACTATAGAAGGAAGCTTGTGCAACCTGATAGACAGTATATACCAGAAACCCAGTCCACAATATATCCAATGGTGAAATATTAAGAGCACTCCTTTTAGAATCAGGGACATTACAGCATATCACTACCATTACAACCAACATTAGTAAGGTTAATAGACATGAAAAATACATACAAACCTAAGTACTGAAATGTCAGAAACAAAACAATTGTCATTATTTATAGATGATAACTATCTAAAACAGAAAAGCCCAGAGAATCTAAAAATTTTTAGAATAAACTTTGACAAGGCTGCTGGATATGAGATGAATATACAAGACAACAGTACTGTTTATCCCAGCATAAAAGATATAGAAAATGTAATTTTAAACAAATTATCAGAGGAACAAAAATGATAATACCCCAGAAATAAATCTAACAAAAACTTGTATTAAAACCTTCAGGAAGGCCCTAGCCAGTTCAGCTCAGTGGATATTCGGCCTGCAGATTAAAGGGTCCTGGGTTCGATTCTGGTCAAGGGCACATGCCCAAGTTGCAGGTTCGATCCCCAGTAGGGGGCGTGCAGGAGGCAGCCAATCAATAATTCTCTCTCATCATTGATGTTTCTGTCTTTCCCTTCCTCTCTGAAATCAATAAAAATAGACATATTTTTAAAAAAAACTTTCAGGAAGAAAACTGTCAGGCTTTACTGAAAGATATACATGAAGACCTAAAGAAATGGAAAAAAATATTATTCATAGAAAGGGAGACTAAATAAATTCTCCCTCAAATTTATTTATAAACCCAGTGTAATTTTTTTTAATTTATCTTTATTGTTGAAAGTTATACAAATGTACCCTTTTTCCCACTGACCCCTTCTAGTCCACCCCGTCCCCTCACCATTAGATTACACTTATGAGTGAGATCATGTGATACTTGGGTTTATAACACTTAGCATAATACTCTCCAAGTCCTTCTATGCTGTCTCAAAGGGTAAGAGATCCTTTATTTTTACTGTTGGAATACAATAATAATGTTGGTATTCCATGGTGTAAATGTACCACAGCTTTTTTAAAAATATGTTTTTATTGATTTCAGAGAAGGAAAAGAGAGAGAGAGAAACACCAACGATGAGAGAGAATCACTGATTGGCTGCCTCCTGCAAGCCCCACAATGGGGATCTAGCTCACAACCCAGGCATGTGCCCTGACCGGGAATTGAACT